GATTGAGAGAGGAAGAAGAAGACGAGTTGGTTGTTTTCTGAGAGATCGAGAGAGAGGAAGAGACGATGGAAGAAAGTGAAGGGTGGGTGAGGATTTTTATGCGAGTACGGCTCGAAAGTTGCACTGTTTGCTTGGCTTCTTCCCCACTTAAATAAATTATTATTAATTTTCTTTTTTTGGTTTTACCATTTTGCCCTCCTTCCCTTAGTTGGACCTACATTTATTTCCTATTTTATATTAATACGAATTCATTACTGTGGATTTTCTCCCAATTTACAAAAAAAAAATATATATGTTTTTTCCTAAAATGTTCGTTTTCTCCATTAATTGAGTATCTCCAATGAAATTGTTGAGAAATGTTAAGGGAACTCTTTCGAGAGTGAGACTTTTCGAGGACTTTCTGCTACATAGTTTAACATTAATTCTCGTGGCAGTGTTATAAAACATAAAGCAAAAAATATAAGGTGACAGAGAGTTTATGAAGAGTCCTATTTTTGAGAGAGTCCACTTAGCATTTCTCAAAATTGTTTTAGAAATAGCGGTGTTAATAACTCACGACATTTCCATGTGTGTTAGGTATGGTTTTGATTGACGTATCTTAACTTAAATGATTAAGAAAATAAAATACCACATACATATTGTGATTGTTTATGTGACTCGTTGTTCTAATTAGATTTAATTTTACTGTAACAGAATTTCATAAGCGTTACTCTTTTTTTTTTCTTCATAAAATTGCTTTAAAAGCTTTAGAGTCTTCATATCAATATTTTACATAATACGTACAACCTTGAGGTCAAATGAGCTTTTGAATATCAGAAGTTGAATTGATCATCCAAAGAGAACTAGTAAAAAAATTAGAATACAATCTGAGAAATAAACTTCCATCGAAATACATGCCTTACAAAGCCTCTAGATTTACGTTGGTCACGCATATGTTTTACTTCATATGCACAGATTAATATTTCCTTTTAAGTTAGAGCCTAAATTAATTGAAGAGGGTAAAAAGGTAATTAGGCAGCGTGGTGGGATTTCACAAAACCAGCCGCCGTCCCCGTGATTGGGTTAGGTCGGTAGGAAGGGGGTCAAAAAAGTAAAACAAGCCAACCAAATCCTGTGGGGTTTGAAGGCGACTCCGGTTTTGGTTTTGTGAACTTGTGATAGCCAAAACCAACACCGGCAATCTAGGTTCCGGTCTTTATCACAGTGCTTGCCTTTTTTAGCCTATATTCATATCTTGCAAAAAATTTATAACGTAAAATAAACGGGTGAGATTTAAAAAAATTTATCATATACTTTTATTATCTTCATCTATCTTATTTGTATCTTGGTGTGCTTAAAATCGGAAAATGATTCTCTTTGGATCCACTTTGTAGGGATCCTAAGGATTCCCGTATCTTATCCGTTCATCGTATATTGTACAATCAATTTTCGTCAGATACTATTTATGTTTAATTTTAAATAAAAAAAATCAAATATACGATTAACAGCTAAAATGTGAGAATTCCTAGTATCCCTACAAAATGAATATGAATGGGATCCAATTCCCTTAAAATCACAGAATATTGAAGCCACGTATCATATCTTGAGCACCTATACTAGAAATTTTGTGTACGGCCGCCCATATGCTAGGTTATCTGTCTGCCCAAAAATCTCCTATATTTGAGATCCATGTCTTTTTTTTTTTCCAAATCAAATTTAATTTGTTTTTGTATAAATTGATTGTTGTAGTTTACAAGGAAGAAGCACTAAAAAAATGAAGTAGGATTCTCTTTCCTCCAAATACCCTCACCTCCCATTCTCTCTCACTTTCCTCTTTGTCTCTCTTTTTAAAGAAGTCAACACAAAATGTTGATGCTGCTTAATCGTGAACGTTCAAATAAAATGAGACTGGAAGAGAAGGAAAATGAGAGAGGAAAGAATCCGGATCCGTAAAAAATACTCACTTAAAGTGTGAGGAAAGTGTAATATTTTACTAGTTTGATTGAAGGGTATGTGTGTAGGTAGCTTCTCTAGTGTTGGTAGTTTTGACGTCTAGGATACATAAACTTACAACATGAATGGCATTTCCTAGGAATTTTCTTTGTTTTGTAATTATAGGCAGCTATCAAACGCTTTGGAATGCCCCTTCAATGTCTCCTTTATACGATCGATTGAACCTAAAAACTATACAAATAGAATTTAGGGGTTCAAACTTAAAAACTAAATCACACACTACAGTAATGTTAAAATATACCGTAACGTGATATAATTATAAAATGTTCTCACATTATAACGCGTGTTTTACGTAATTCATAATGTATTCTAAGGCTGTCAAATGTCATTGAATTTGTTTTTTTATTTTTCTGTGTAAAATTATTGCAATGCATAACCTGCATTATTATGTATGCTTTGCAGAGTCAAATAGTACATGCTTCTTGTTGGTTCCTTGTCATCTCACCCACCGCATTTCTGATTGCTGCATTCTTTTGAACTCGATTTTAATTATGATTTTCGGAACTTGATTTTAATGTCATTTTATTCTACGAAACTCAAGAGTTGATACTTTATTCTCTGAAACTCGATTGTGATCTCATTTTGTTTTCTGACACTTGGAAGTTGTCTCTATAAAACTCAAAATTCACTCCACATTACCTTAGATCTATTAATTTCTTAAGTGAGTTGGATTTGGGCACCAAGCTAATCAAGTTTTTTTAATATTTTTTCACCTCTTCAATTTCTTTTAAACTTAATACTCTTATTGTTGAATATAGCGCATAATGGAGATTTATAATTTTTATTGCACATGTAGCATAGTCTTTTTGAGTGTTGAGTCCCACATATGTTTCAAAAGGTGACCTATAAGTTTCAGTGAGAAGAGAGTCCACAAGTCAAAATGGAACGAATTTTGAGTTCCAAGGAATAAAGTGGTGACTTTCCAATTACAGGGAATAATGTGAAATCAAAATGAAGTTCCAAAGGGTATAGCTAAAAAATAAGTCTCAAAACAATAAGAGTTGTTATTATGCCTCATCCAACAAACTTTCAACACAGTTGTTTGATTTATGATACTAGTAAATCAGACAATGATGATCATTAGAGATTAAATTGTCTCTATGAGTCTTCCATAGTCCATTTTTGAAAACAAAAAAACAAAAAAAACTTTCAACACATTGATATATGAACCAAAATCAATCGCATCTCGTCACTAGCATCACTTGGATCATGCGCAACAATTCTCCTTAATATTTAAAACTGGAAAATTCTTAAAAAATAAAAGCATGCAAAAGAATATGGCATGATGACATTTTTCATTCGTGGTTTACTTCAAGCGTTTTATGCTTTTGGAGTTCAATGTCCGATGCCAATTTTTTTTGAATTTTTTTTACCTAAAATGATCTTTGAGATCGTTAAAATTCTCATTTTAGTTTCTGAGGTTTAAAATTGATAGAAATGATCCATAAGATTGTCCACCATTAATAATTTTGGTCATTCTGTGATAAATTTCTGTTAAATTGAGAGTATTTTTATCAGAACAATTTCTTCCCTTGAACTGATGGTTTCTTTAATTTAATGAAATTTTTTCACAAAAAGACTGAAATTGTTGACTGTAGACAATCTCAAGAATCAAATTAAGAAGTTATGTCAATCTTAGATATTATTTTGAATAAAAAGCTAACTTTTTTTTTTTTTTTTGCATGGTAAGATTGTGCTTAAAGATATTATCTGATATAAAATAAACCCTAGCATGTTGTATAGTGTTATCTTTACAATTTGATGTTCTACATTGATAGCCATGACTCATTTGTACAAATTCTAATACAAGTTATATTATATTTAAACTAGTCTAAATTATATAAAGAAAATACGAACCAAGTACGTAGAGTAGAGTACATCAGCTATAATTAACCAATATAACTACGCCAACGTTAAATAGTCAAACTATAATTCATGTCGACTTTTGAAATTCTTGTGAAAGAAGGAAAAGAAGTGGTAGTTAGTTAGGATGTTGAATACCAAGTTGTGGAAGCATCGGCCGCATCACCTGCCTCTCTTTCCATCTCTCATCTCTTCTCTTTTCTGAAACTGGTGAGCCAACTGGCCAAGTGGGGTCTTTCAAGAGGTTCTCGCCATGTTGGGGTAATTTTAATTTTTTTTTTTGTCGATCTTTTTCGGAATTGTATTCGTTTATTGTACATCGTGCTGTCAGTTTTTGTCAGGTACTGTTTTTATTTAACGCACGATATACGATAAATGTATAATTTTGAATAATTATTTAAACTTGGAATATTCTTCAGTTCGATCCGATATTGGAGACAAAATGAACGAGTTGTGCTGTTAGGTCTTGGAATATTCTTCACTTCTTTATAAGGAAAACTAATGAAAGGGTTTGAAAACTTTGAGTTTTAACGATAAGGACAAAATAAAGAAATGAATAGTATCATGTTTGATTTTTTAGTGTAAAAATGTGATTTTTCGTTAAAATGAACATTACAAGATAAGGGTTAGAATTTGAGAACACATTTTTCTAAAAAACATTTTGACACGCATTTTTAGAAGACGAATATATTTTATCAATCCATTAGAATTTGAGAACACATTTTTCTAAAAAACATTTTGACATATATTTTTAGAAGATGAATATATTTTATCGATCCAATTGTTTATTTTTTTTATGTATTCTCTCAAATATCATCTTTAACAAAATCACTAAAATCCCGCAATATGACCAACACATTTTTCTAAAAAACATTTTGACACGCATATTAAGAGACGAATAAAATACATTTTATCGATCAAACTGATTATTTTTTTTATGTATTCTCTCAAATATCATCTTTAACAAAATCACTAAAATCCCCCAATACAACCACTTGATTAAATTTAACATTTTTATAAAACTATTTTCTTCATTATAAATAAATATCTTATAATTTTAAATTTGTCTAATTCAAAAATGTTGTGAAGGCCCAATAATTACATTATTGGGCCTAAACAATACCTAACCCAATAAAAAAATGAATAAAGAACTTTCAAATAAACACATTCTCAATGAACCCAAATATATAACAAAAGAAGTTTACATTTCTCCAAACTAAAACCAAGTCGATGAACAAACTAAAACTCTCCTCAAAGCTTTTATCAAAACCTACTAGTATCCGGTAATAATCTCAGCACGACTGAGATCACGATCAAAGTTTCAGCAAACAAAAAGGAACGACCTAGGTTACGAGACCGCGAAAACAAAGCTACCTTCTAACCGCATAACAATTTGGTATTCGACAGCTTCCCCAATCAATACTTGTAGTCCTTGACATGAAGGTTCTCGGCGGCACCCTCGCCAAGCTTGGCGTCACCCTTGTAGGCTCCCAATGTCGCTTCCGAGTTAGCCTTGGCCCTGGTGAGGAAAGCTTCCTGAGCCTTCTTCACATTCTCCTCCTTTCCTGACCAAGCCTTGAGAGTGCTCTGCTGAAGGGCACGTCCGAAGGAGAATGAAAGAGTCCATGGCTTCTTCGCCTTTAACTTGTTCATGGCGTTGAGGTTGAGGGTAGCGTCCTCCTCGCTCTGCCCACCAGAGAGGAAAGCCACAGCAGGGACAGCTGCAGGCATGGTGCGCTGCAAGGCGCGGACAGTGTGCTCGGCAACCACCTCGGGCGCAACCTTTTTGGAATCAGATCCTGGAGTCACCATGTTAGGCTTCAAGAGAGTCCCTTCAAGCAGGACATGGTGGTCGTTAAGTGCCTTGTAGCATGCGGCAAGAACACGTTCGGTCACAGCACACTTCTGAATGTCGTGGGATCCATCAACAAGGATCTCTGGCTCAACAATGGGGACAAGGCCATTCTCCTGGCAGATGATAGCATATCGGGCCAACCCATTGGCGTTCTCGTTGATTGCCAGCTGAGATGGCTCGGTGGGGCCAATCTTGAGCACAGCACGCCATTTTGCAAATCGGGCACCAGCTTCGTAGTACTTCTTGCAACGTTCGCCAAGGCCATCCAGACCCTGAGTTGTGGTTTCACCATTGGTACCAGCAAGCTCAACAGTGCCCTTGTCAACCTTAATTCCAGCAAGGACACCGCCCTCCTTCAAAACATCAACGAACGGCTTACCTGTATAGCATAAATCGAAATGTCAATGGCATGACATATCATCCAAGCACAAAAAATAAACAGAAATGACAAGCTCATAGATAAACCTTCGAACCCTTCAATGCATGGACAAACACGAGTATTGAAAACAATTCATAATTTTTGAATTAAACCCGATTTTAGACATGAATTTCATAGCGTAGGTAGAAAAATACCAGCAGCTGTCTTCTGGTAGAGGGTTTCCTCAAAGAGGATGACTCCACTGAGGTATTGGAGGGCACCGGGAGTGGTGAAAAGCAGCTCACGGAGAGCGCGCCTGTTTGTCTCAGTATTCTCAACGCCAATGCTGGAAAGACGCTTGCCAATCGTGCCAGTTGACTCATCGGCAGCAAGGATACCCTTTCCCGGGGTACCAATGTAGGCAGCATTAGCAATGAGCTCATCTGCAAGCCAAAGATAATTCAATATATTAAGGGCTGGTTTGGTATTGTCATGCTTTGAAAAAAAAATTACTTTTGCTGTGCTGCGAGAATAAGCTCATTCTGATTCACATTTTCAGTTTTTTTTTTCACACAAAACTGTGAAAATAAATTGTTTTTAAGTGTTTACCAAATACCTTTATGTCGGGTTTTTTTTATACCCATTTTTTATAAAAGCACCTTAGTATTTATACTCATTTTTTTATAAAAGTACCTCAGTGCTAATCCAGTACTCACAACCCCAAACCCCAAACTTAGATTATACACAAGAGAAAACAAAAAGAAAGCACGACGACGAAAGGACCGCTTCAAACTCTGTGAACATAAAATTCTTTTGAATTAAAACACCAATTAAGCAAATATCATCCGTCACAGTCACATGTCTCCTATGCATCCGAGTCCTAATCATCCTCCCGTATTTTTTAAGACTAAATTTCTTGTGTAAAAAATCAATTAAAACGTCAGCTGATGACAAAAATGGAGTTTTACAGAGTTTTACAGGTATATTTTTCAAATAATTTGAGATTTACACGTTAAAATAAACCTCAAATTCAGGTCATGCCAATCGATCCAAACAAACAAGGATCGTAAATCATCATTTAATTAAAACAATCATTATAAACAAATTAAAAAATGATATCTTCCAACAAAAGGGTTTACCATACAATCCAAAATTTTAAGATTTTTCTCTACCCTACATGATCATAACCATTAACACACCAGTTAGACACTAATCATGCAGTAACTTCAATCAATAAAACGCTAAGGATACTACCAAATGTGGGACTCTTCATGGACTCCGTAAAAAATGAGGTGGCGGAAAGTCCACGGAGAGTCCACACAACTTCACACTTTGAGAGAATAAAAAGTCACACTTTTGAGTCTCCCAAGCATATATCTTAATTAATTTCGAATTAAGTTTCAAAATTAAGCACCATCCACACACTATTAAGTATTAACAATTCAGCAAAACTTAATTTAACACATAAAAATTCATTATCATCATGATAAAAGCACCGATACAACACTAATCCATAATCCATACGATAAATTCAACGCATACAAATACAGACCAGAGCAAACACTAATAATTCAAAATTAAACCAAACAACAACAACAAAAAGGGCAGAATCTTTCGAACGAGAGATAAAAGGAAGAAGAGAATATGTAACGGCGTTAGGCGATGATTACCGTGATACTTTCCCTTGAAGGCCGACATTTTTGACTGTGAGAAGAGAGAGCGGAAACTTTAAGGGTCGGTTATGGATTGGGAGATTGAGGAGGAAGATGGAGAAAATGGTGGGTGTGAGTGAGGGTTTTATATCAGAGACCAAGGCCTTGCGGAACACGTTGCTCTCAGTCAAGTGCACCTCAAATGATCTTCGACTTTCTCCTCATTTTGACTCTTTTGCCCTTATTTCGTGCTGGGCTTTCTGTTCTTCGCCGACTTAACCCACACAAAAATGCCCCAATGATTATCCTTTCTTTTTTATTTTTTTTTTATTGTAATGAAATTAGTCTCTCACTTATAAGAAAAAATTATCTTCTTAGGATCCCTTCCTCCTAATTCATTAAGTTTAAAGATCCGGATCATTGAAATTTGATCCGACGGCTACATAAAGGCTCACTTTAAAGTTATAAAAATATTAGTTGTTGTATCAAATTTCAATAACTAGAATCTTCGGACCTAGTAGATTAGAAGGAAGAGATTCAGATATGATTTTTTTCCTCCTATAAGAACAAAGAGAAAGAGAACAGCAAAAAGCTTCTCTTAAAAATGAGATTCTGATTTCTGCGCCATCTGATATTTTTAGCAAGGTTCTAAAAGATGCTAAGCGTTAGTTGTACAGCGGACTGAAACCTAGCTGCTAGGTGGAATCTAGACGGACTTTAGTATAATATTTTATAATATTAACATAAAAATTTATATTAAATTGTGGACTCACAGAAAATTATGAATTCCCACTTCAGCAAAATCTCCTTTGCATTGCTTAAGGACAAGTAGAAAAAAAGTTAGGGCAAAAAGAAGAGAAACTTAGGTCAAAGTTGTAAAATCCATGTAATTTGCTTGTATTCCCAAAGAATCCAATTCTTTGACGTGAAAGCTATAGTCAACTGAAACCATTATTCCTCTTCGTCAGAATTTTTAATAAATTATGTTTTGCCGGTGGTTGGTTTTACCGCAGTGGTTTTCAATGATTTTGATTACCAGTTATACCCTTCATTAGTGCTTAATTTGGCTTCCTCAATTCTTTTCGGAAGGGTATAATTGGTAATCAAAATAATTGAAAACCACTGCGGCAAAACCAACCAAGCAACAAATAGTAGTGCTTACTGTTGGCCAGGTGGAGGTGAAGGTTGAATCTGTGGGTTTGGTTGTAATTATGCGTGAACCCCGAGAGATTACTACCACCGCCACCCTTTCATTTACCACTAATGCAAATAATTGAAAACACACGCTTTTATATACATTTGGTCACGTATCTTTTTGGAATTCACTTTATATGTGTATTTTAATGATTCAAACCGTTTATTTTGTAGATATTTTCTAAAGATCATGTATATTAAAAATCATTTAAATCTAAAATCATATAACTGTCAGATTAAATTTATGTGTTTGTTCAAAAACAGTATTCGTCAATTTTCTTCTACAAATGAATGTTTTAATGATTTTGGATTTGTCTAAGTTTTTGTCATAATGATCTTTAAACGATGTACTAAAATATAGATAATTTGGATCGTTTAAATACAGTACGAAGTAGCCCTATAAAATGAGTGTCAAAAACGTGTCATCAAATCCTAACCAATACGTATTTAATCCCCATATAGATACAGTTTGTTCATTCATTCTAAAGGATTTTAGTATAAAAGAAGGAAGTATACCAACCTTCAACATACTAAAATCAATCAATAGGGCAAACGTGTAAGGTACATAATTCATGAGTTGGTAAGATTTTTCGGTGAAAGTTTTGAAGTTGGAAGCCCCTCCTTGTTGATTTAAAAGATCATAATTTGTTGAGTTCAATTCATGTTCGAAATTTTTAAGTTTGAGGATGAAGAATGAAGAGTGCCAAAGTTCCACGTTTTTAAATGTTTTAGGCGTCAAGTATTTTCCCTTCTACTACAACATGAATCGTTTCAAGTCAAGCAAAAGTTGTGTTGCTTATCTAGGACTGAGGAAAATTAAGGTAGCCCTAGCACAATGGTTATCATGCAGTAAAATAGTCCGGTACATCAAATGTCGTAATATATAAGGAAAAGTTTACTTTTTTAAGTGTCCATTCACTTTTATTATGACACTTTGGTTCTTTAACTTTAACTCAATTAGAGCAATGGTCCTTCAACTAAAAATCTATTACCATTGGTCCCTCAACTCATCAAAACGTGCAGATATGGTCATTCAACTAAAAATTAATTATCATTAGTCTCTCAATTTTAATTCAACTGGAGAAATGATCCTTTAATTTTAACCAAATTATAGCAATGGTCCTTCCAACATAACTCGTTTTGACAAAAATTTTGACGTAATTGACGAAAATGACCATAATTACACACTTTGATGAGTTGAGGGACACTAATTATATAAATGGTTATTCCAATATAACTTATTTTGACAAAATTTTAATGAAATTAATGAAAATGACTATAGCTACACATTTTGATAAGTCGAGGGACTATTGCTCTAATTTGATTAAAATTGAGAGATCATTGCCACAATTTACTCTATTTTTAATACACTAACAAAAATCTCTGATTCACGACTCGAAAATGAATGAAAAATGTAACAAATGCCTTGCACCAGGTTGGCCCAGTTCAATTACTTCTCTTCAGCCTGTGGCATGGAAACGGACTTTGAGCCGAAGTCCAATTACATAAGAAAGTAAAAATCCATCCACGAACATATTATTGTAAGCACTCATTCAAGCTCAACCCTACTACTTCGAGTTTGATCATCGCAAGCTACCAACTTTAGCGTTAGAGTGTCTTGACCGAAACTAGGCCTAAATTGTTTTTGAAACTCTCTTAAGTTCAAGATATTGTTCCGGCGGGTAGTGACTATCATGTTTCATTTTCTCAACAAATATCATGAAAATGGTAATACATTGAGTTAGAATAGTACCCAACACCATACATACTACAAAAGTATAACTCACTAAATTTAATGCATATGATAAAAAACGAAACAAAGATTAGCTTTTCAAATTTTGTATAAGTTGGAAGTAGAAGATATATAAGCTCGATGTCTAGAATTGGATCCGATAGTCACAAGCAGAGCCAGCTAGTTGTTGTCCTAGGTTCTAGCACATCCTAAGTTTTAAATTTTGGAACTTTCTGGTGTTAAAATAAGCATGTTGTGGAAAACTTAAGCGTAATATTGCACAAAGTAGAAATTTTGCCTACCCCTAACACCTAAATCTCACTACATACTACAAGGAAAATAATTTAGTCCACTCCTATTTAAATTCCTAGATCGGCCCTTGATAATCGTTAGATTCAAGATATGTTAGTTATAAAGAAAACTTATCATTTCAATTTTATCATTAATGGCGAATAAAGTAAATACAGTTCTTTTTGGACTAATAAATTAATAATACTTTTGTTTATATCATATTTAGAGCCTCGTATTTAGATCTCGTACAAATACTCGAGGGACTTAAATGTAATTATGTGATAAAGGAAGGGGCAAATATGTAATAAGTGAAGAGTCCTCATTCCATATAAGGACCCCTCACCTCACAATTAGGGGAGGCCATTCCTTAAGCCTTCTCACCCCTCTCACATCCCCTCTCACATTACAGAGGTTCTCTCTCCCTCAGAAATACATAATTAGTGTGGACGTAGCCCAGACCTTGGGATAAACCACGATACATCTTGTGTTATTTACATTTCTTGCAGATTTACGGTCGGATTTACGTTGTTCCAAAACCTCTAGTTTTGTGCATCAACATTTGGCGCCGTCTGTGAGAAACGACACAAAAAATTACGTCGGTTCACTTTAAAGTTATAAGAAAAATTACGTCTGATATTTTTAGCAAGGTTCTAAAAGATGCTAAGTGCTAGTTGTACAGCGGGCTAAAACCTAGCTGTTAGGTGGGATTTAGACGGACTTTAGTACAATATTTTATAATATTAACACAAAAATTTACATTAAATTATGGAATAACAGAGAATTATGAAGTCGCACTTCAGCAAAATCTCCTTTGCATTGCTTAAGGACAAGTAGAAAAAAAGTTCGGGCAAAAAGAAGAGAAACTTAGGTCAAAGTTGTAAAATCCATGTAATTTGCTTGTATTCCCAAAGAATCCAATTCTTTGACGTGAAAGCTAAAGTTAACTGAAACCATTATTCCTCTTCGTCAGAATTTTTAATAAATGATGTTTTGCCGGTGATTGTTTTTACCGCAGTGGTTTTCAATGATTTTGATTACCAGTTATACCCTTCATTAGTGCTTAATTTAGCTTCCTCAATTATTTTCGGAAGGGTATAATTGGTAATCAAAATCATTGAAAACCACTGCGGCAAAACCAACCAAGCAACAAATAGTAGTGCTTACTGTTGGCCAGGTGGAGGTGAAGGTTGAATCTGTGGGTTTGGTTGTAATTATGCGTGAACCCCGAGAGATTACTACCACCGCCACCCTTTCATTTACCACTAATGCAAATAATTGAAAACACACGCTTTTATATACATTTGGTCACGTATCTTTTTGGAATTCACTTTACATGTAATGATTCAAACCGTTTATCTTGTAGATATTTTCTAAAGATCATGTATATTTAAAATTATTTAAATCTAAAATTATATAACTGTCAGATTAAATTTATGTGTTTGTTTAAAAAACAGTATTCGTCAATTTTCTTCTACAAATGAATGTTTTAATGATTTTGGATTTGTCTAAGTTTTTGTCATAATGATCTTTAAACGATGTACTAAAATATAGATAATTTGGATCGTTTAAATACAGTACGAAGTAGCCCTATAAAATGAGTGTCAAAAACGTGTCACCAAATCCTAACCTATACGTATTTAATCCCCATATAGATACAGTTTGTTCATTCATTCTAAAGGATTTTAGTATAAAAGAAGGAAGTATACCAACCTTCAACATACTAAAATCAATCAATAGGGCAAACGTGTAAGGTACATAATTCATGAGTTGGTAAGATTTTTCGGTGCAAGTTTTGAAGTTGGAAGCCCCTCCTTGTTGATTCAAAAGATCATAATTTGTTAAGTTCAATTCATGTTCGAAATTTTTAAGTTTGAGGATGAAGAATGAAGAGTGCCAAAGTTCCACGTTTTTAAATGTTTTAGGCGTCAAGTATTTTCCCTTCTACTACAACATGAATCG